CATCCAATCTTAAATGTTTAAAAGCTTCTTCTGCAGCTGTCTTTGTAATTTGCAGGCGGCTCTTCTCAAGGAGCCTGGAATTGGAGAGTGAGCTGAGCAGCAGTGCTTAGGGCTAAAGAGTCCGTTCTTTGGGGCTCAGCAACCAGCCACTTTTAACACTCATGGCCTTTTAGGAAGCAACAATCATAATTTAGTCAGCAGATGAAGATGAGTGTGTGTGTATGTCTTGTTTGTGGTGCTGGAGATACAACCCAGAGCTTCACCCTTGCTAAGCCAGTGTTCTACCACTGAGCCACATTCCAGCTCAGGCACAGAGGTTTTTAAACTCATGAATCAATGCATGAAGAAACACTGTGTGCAAAGTTGGGGTGGGGGATCAGAGAGTTTCTCTGAGATTAATTTAGAATATTTCAAGTCAAGTCACTTTTTTTTTGCCCAGAGAAGTTACGAGGAATCTCAGCAGCATTCAGCTATAGGAACTCTTGGAACAGACCACTTATATCCAAGGCTCAGGGCTAGACAGTGCTTGAGCCCAGCCTGGGCACCTTCTTTTTAAATAACCATGACTCTGGAATCAAGTCCTGGGCACTGTTGCAGCTGAAGATGGAGCTTTGAAGCCAGCATTCAAGAATTTCAAATCATTTTACTCACCTATGTGGCATACTGTTAATGAGTTAATGCTTACGATACTCTGCAGCTTGCTGAGTAGGTTTGATGCTGTGGCAGCTTTATCAGAAGGGTTTTGGCCTCCTACGGTAATACTGACTGTGATGGTTAGGATAATTGTCAATTTGACTTGACCTAGAATCACCTGGTTAGAGTCTTGATAACATACATTAGGTTAGCCTGTGGGCATCTGTGGGACATTGTTTTAATTAAGTTAATCAGTGTGGGAAGACCCATCCCACTCTGCGTGGGACCATTCTCTAGGTCCTGAAATGTGTGAGAGGAGAAATCAAGCTGAGCACCAGCGAGCACGCATGTGTTCATTTCTTTCTGCTCTGACTTGTGGCTATGATGTGACTAGGTGTTTGAAGTTCATCTTGACTTCCTCAAAATGATGCACTGTGACCTGGAATTATAAGCTGAAAAAAACTCCTTTCAATCCTCGGTTACTGTCTGTGAAGGTATTTTATCACAACAAAAATAAAATGAGTATACCAAATGTACATTCTTTATCAGAAATGTCTGGAACCAGAGGGTTTCAGAAGGTAATTTTATATTATTTCTAATAATTTTGTAAATGAAATAAAGTTCTATAGTATGGAATTTTCCACTTGTGGCATCATATCAGGTTCAAAAAGGTTTGGCTCTGGAGGCTCGGGATGGGGATGTAGTTGAGTGGTAGAATGCTTGCCTAGCATGTGGGAGGCACTGTATTTGACTCCCTGCACTAAAAGAAAGAAGACAAAAGGAAATGAAGGGAAGGAAAGGAAAGGAAGAACAGGGAGAAGTTTTGGATTTCAGAGTCTTTCCGATTTTCAAAATAGAGATGAGGACATGTGCCAGGCTGGGGATGCAGCTCAGTGGCAGAGCACTTGTCTAGACCACCCAAGGCCCTGGGTTCAACTCCTACACTGGGGAAAAGGAAGGATAAAACAGCACTGTCATGATTTCATGCTCCATGACAGAATTTGAACAGCTCCCTCTCAGTCTGCAGGGATGCTGAGATGAACCAGGAGGGAAGATTTTCTAGACACAATTCCCTCCTTTGAGAGACCACATCCAAACCTGGCGTGGCCTCCTGAACTCTTTTCTTGTGAGGCGGCCTGGCCAAAATTAAAATTAAAATTAAATTGAGCTAAAATTAAAATGTAATTCAGAGTCTCCCACCCTCTTGCCAGTCCGCAGGGCTGCCTGCCTAGGAACACTCAGGCTATGTGGAGTCTGTACCTGCTGACCAAACCCTGTGGGACAATCTCAAGTTCCTTGATAGTAACTTAGTGCAAAAGGAAATCCCAAAATAAAACATGGTCCAATCTTTTACTTTAACAAAAGATTTATTTGAAACAGGTTTTTGCAGACATACACCAGTTAACAGGATTGATCAAAGCCATGAATCAGTAAATTCTCCAAACACCTCTAAACAAATGTACAGAAGATGCCCTTGACTTGGATTCCCTCCAGGAGAGCTCGGCCTCATGCCATCACACTGCTGTAATTTAACAACCAGAAGACAGTAACAGCATGGGAAAATGGTTACACTTCCAGGGGGAGGGAACAAAAACCTCCACATGCCATGGAAGTACTCATTGATCAGCTGAGAGCCAATTAAACACTGACCCTCTGCCTAGCTAGATTCAAACCTCCCCTTAGCAAACAGGATTTGTACAATCTCAGCAGATGTGGCTAGAGATAGGGGACCACGTGGCTTTGCTCACACAAAACACCACAGAGATACTGTACTCACTGGTAGTTCAAGACAGGCAGGCCAAAGGGTCCCTTCCTTCCTGTGGCTGGTCCCTGTAGGTAGCCCCCTGCTGTAACCCCTACAGTGCTCTGGGGAGGGAGAGCTAGACAGAGGAACTCTGGCACTGGTCTGTACTTGGCCATCACTGGCAACGTGGGAGAGGGAGCAGGAGGCTCGCACATTACATACACTTTATTACTGAAACACCAAACAAGTCTTTACCAGCACAGGGATCTTGTTTTTAATTGACATATGATAATTGTACATAGTTATGGGATATGTACTGGGATCTTGCCGGAAGGAGAGAAACTCCATGACCAGGCAGGTTTCCTCTGTTTTTTTTTTTTTTAATTAGTGTGTGTTGATTGCCCTGTAAGCACATACCAAGCTACCTCTAGGAACACAACTGAATCCAGTCCAACCCCATGGCAAGTGGGCCACAGCTGCTCTTTAGTTTTTAATCCCTTCCCTTCCACATAGAAAATCAGAAAATCTTATTTGCACAAAGCTTTTATTTGTCTTATTTTAGACAGGATCTTGCTTGTGGCCAAGGTTGGTCTCCAACTCTTGATTCTCCTGCCTCAGCCTCCTGAGTGCTGGGACCACAGGCCTGCCCCACCATGCAGGGCTCACAAGGCCTTCCTGACCCTAGCTTTCCTGGCCTGGATTGTTTGGATAGTGCTATTATTTCAACTTTCTTCTTCCTAGTTCTGCCACAAATCACAGCCACCTGGCATTTTGTTCCTGCTTTCTCAAACAAACGGGTCTCCTTCCTTTCTTTGGCCAGGTCAAAAGAAATGGCTGTGGGCTAATCTTGTGAGCATGTTTTTCTTGGTCTGATGCCTGGGAGAGGGAGCCGAGTGGATATCACAGAGGCAGAGAGAGCAGGAGCCTGTCATCTGAAAAGGAGCTGGCCAAAGTAGAAAAAGAATCATGCCTTTGTCTCCTCTCCCTGGGGAGGGCTGAGGTGTTCCTGGGCTTGTGCTGGGGGATGGGGTGAGCTCTCCCCTTCCAGGGTTTGCAGCTTCCATTCTTGCTGCCTCCCCACCTCTTCTTACCACACAAGAAACTGCTCATACTGGGTGAACCAAGAGCACAGTCGAAGGCTAGGCATTCAGTGAGGCTCATGGAAAGGAAAGGGGTGGAAATAGGTGCTGCCAGAAAATGCTGGGGTGCTGAGGAAAAAAATGGATGAATGAACACACTGTGTTATGCATCCCTGGTCTATCTCAGAAATACTTAATGGTGTCATTATCGGCGTATAATGCCCATAATGTATATAACTGCTCTCAAACTAACATAAGTTAATCTCCCCCTAGGCTGTGCTGACACAGCCAACCAGAATCACCAGCAAAGTCAACTGATGCAAACTTTCTTGTTTTGAGGGGCTTTTTTGAAGGGTATTTATTTATTTATTTATTATTTTTTGGGGGTCTTTTTGAGACAGGGTCTCCCTGTAGCCTCAGCTGTCCTGGAACTCACTATGTAGACCAGGCTGGCCTTGAACTCACAGAGATCTGCCTGCCTCTGCCTCCTGAGTGCTGGGATTAAAGGCGTGCACACATGCCTGGCCGAGGGGCTTTTATTTTAACTTTCCCATTGTTGCAACATTTGCTAATTTAAGCGTCTGCATGCAGAAAGTATGCTGGGGATGCCTCTTGTTTTGTTCGTTTGCTTTCTGAGACAGAGTCTCCCTGAGTAGATCAGGCTGGCCTAGAACTCACTACGTAGATCCTCTTGCCTCAACCTCTCCAGGGCTGGGATCACTGGTATGCACCATCCCACCACATGGCATGCCATCTTTTGACTTCACCCGATAAGCTCATTTCTTTTCTGAGTTATTATTTCAGGCTGTTTAGCCAGTCCCCTTATTCAGAATTTTGACAGACCCCAGGAGATGAAGGCTGTTTCAAATGCTAAAGTTAAACCACTCCTTGAATTACTTTGGGACAATGACCTAGGCAGTAATTCAAACTCTGGTTGAACTGTGCTATCCTTTGATGAGTTCCAAACAAAAGGTGACCTTACCCAATAGCAACGCAAACATTCAACTTATGGCCTAAGACAAAATCCCTAGGGACAGTAATATCTGCTAGAAAACTTTCTTCCTTATTGTTTAAAAAGAAAGATCATTATGATAATACATGGAGATTATCCATAATTAAAACATTTTTTGACCTTAAAGTAGATATATCCATATTCATTTTCAGACTCTCATTACCTAGTTCCACTTAAAAAAAAAATCAAAACCACCAACAACAAAAAACTTAGTAGTTGGAGATGTAGCTCAGAGGTAGAGCTCTATCCTAGCACTCACAAAGCCCTAAGTTCCATACCCAGCACCATAAAAACAAAACAGGGCCTGGTGTGGTGGCACACGCCTTTAATCCCAGCACTCAGGAGGCAGAGGCAGGCGGATCTCTGTGAGTTCAAGGCCAGCCTGGTCTACATAGTGAGTTCCAGGACAGCTGGGGCTACAGGGAGACCCTGTCTCAAAAAGACAAAAAAAAACAAAAACAAAAACAAAAACAAAACCCAAAAAACAAAAACAAAACAAACAAGCAACAGCAACACAACACATTTTGGGAGGCAGAGACAGGAGGACCAGAGGATCATGAGTTCAAGGTCGGTCCTGGCTACAAAGCTATTTCAATGCCAGCCCAGACTACATGAGACTTTGTCTCAAAAATAAAAAAATCATGCACTGCTTCAGTGAACTGTGCACACCTAGAGGCTTGTCAAAGAGAAGAAAATGTCAGCTTTGCTCAGCAGAAGCCCAGATTCACTTTTTAGCACATTTTTTGGGAAATATTAAAGAAACATTGTTCCTTTCTCCAAAGCAAGGCTTTGTATGGAATACCAGCCCAAACAAGTCCTCATGTTTTTGTTTTTTGTGTTTACATGTGTGTTGTGGGATGGGAAAAAACAACAGTAGTCTAAAAATCTGGACCATTCTGCACTGAGACAGAGTAGATATATCAACTCCATTTTCCAAAGTATTCCATAGCCAACCCCCAAGCAGGAGGCGATGCTATTCGAGGCTGCCTGGCAGAGGTGGGCAGGCTGCTGGGCAGAGGTGGGCAGCTTCTACTTCAGTGTGTGCCCTCTACACTGCAGCCATCCTGGTGGGTGTGTGCAGCACAGCAGAACCCAGAACTAAGCTGGGAGGATACTGGCTGTGCTGTACGCAGACTCACTAAAACAGGAGAGAAAACAGAGCCTTCTGTGAGCAGTCCTAGCCCACAGGGAGGCCTGAGTGGTTTCTGGCAGCTTAGGCCCATGCACAGGCAGGCTTGGAAGTGCTGACCGAATTTAACTTGCCAGCCTGAGGGTCATATACTGTGTGACAGGAGTGACATGTCCCATGTGACATTTCCACTGAACTGTCAGCCATTGTGTGCAAGCTAGTGCAGTCCACCGAACTCCCTGGGGAGGGGTTGTGTGTGTGACATTCTGACCTTGGTTTAACGATAGGACAAATGACACAGCCCGAGTTGGTCCTGGCTAAGTAGTGTGCATCACACAGCATGACAGCTGCTAAGTCTAGAAACCCAAGTTAGTCATTTGGCTAGGAGAAAGCTTAATCACATGAGAGAAAAAAATAGAAAGTCATCCCTTCCAGAAATGTTTTCTACTGTGTGCATATCTCATTATTGCAAAGCCTGTTTAGTCTACTTCTCAACATAAGAAAATATGCTTCAGAAATGAAAAGTGTGCTGTAATGTAAAACAAAACAAAAAAACAGAACAACAAAACCTCCACACAAATACTTTCATTGACTAATCTGATTTGAAAGGCTTCAAGTTCAAGAGAGGGCTAAACATTTGATGAAGCTGAATTTTGATTCAACTTTCCAAATGAGCTCAGTTCCCAAATGAAAAGGAGCAGTGGAGCTGCCTGGGGCACATTCAATCCCAAGTCTCCTTTCTTCGGTTTGACTTCCCCCTCTTCTGGATGTGCAATACAGACATCTACCGTGATCAGGGCACACTTCCTGTTGTTTTTCCAGCATGGTAGTCTGGCAGGATCCATCTGACTGGGCCCACTAGTTTTATTTGCCTCAGGGAGCAAAGAATGGTCACTTCCAAATTCCCTGTTAACTGCAACATGCTGCCTCCCCCTTAAACCATCTCAGAATCCTGCTCACTTTCTAAGAAAAAATCGGTTCTCAGTCAGTGCAAACCACATTCTAAGTGTTTTCAATGCCCATTCATCTCAGATGTTCCAAAAATAAAGGGTTAGAAAGCAAAGAGCACCATCGTTTTATTTCTTGAATGCAGTGCCTTAGACTGCTCAGTCATCTTGACTTTTTATTTTCTAAGTTAGCACAGCATCCCAGTTGGAATGGTGCAATTTTAACCAGTAGTAGGTGCCCAGTCATCCAAAACCTGGTTTTGGAACAGAAGAAAGTAGCCACCAGGGCTGCATTTCATGAAGGTCCCAAGTTCTGTTCCAGTTCAGAATGGGGGCCTACAGGTGCAAAGCCAAGAACTGCCCACTTTCCTTCCTTGTTTTAGAACTCAGGGCACTCTTCAGAAAGGCTCCTTGGGTACCCAAAGGAAACCATGTCAATATTTTTAAAAGTTTTTATCTTGAAATGTTTGGAATCGTTTTCATTAAAAACATGTGGTACTGGATGTGGCGGCTCATGCTATAATCCCAGTACTGAGGAGGCTGAGACAAGAGGATTGTTGAGAGTTTGAGGCTAGCTTGGGCTACTTAGTGAATTCAAGGCTAGAGTGGGATACAGTATATGACTGTCTGTGGGGTAAGGTCTCACTTCTGCTACTGTGACAATTTTGATGATTGTGACAACTGTCAAGAGTGTGACTTGAGATTTGGTGGAAATGTCCTCTGTGTCTGCTTCTGGTGTGTCATGCATCCTTTGTCACCTTCCAGAGACATCTGGCGTTCACCCTGACCACTCTCTGACCTGTGTTTTCCCTCTGGGATCACCCTGATTCCAGAGCTGCAGAGTGAATGACACCTCTGTCCTACCACTGAACAGATATTATAAACTCCATTATAATCCTAACACTGAAAGTCTAAAATGTGAAGTGCCCAAGCAGGTCCTGACTGAGCGGCTGTCAAAGGCCCAGCTGGAAAGTGGTATGAAGAGTTTGGACAGGGCAAGGCGTCCCCGTGCCACTCTGACGGGTGGGATTCCATCAGAAAGAGGAAGCAAAGCATCCAGGTCAGGTCTGGACCAGCCACTTTTCTGCAGTTATTATAAAGACAAAGGGTGGTGAAGGGAAGGATTTCTGGCACCCAGATCTGAATCTGCAGGGAGCAAGGATGCGTGGAGCCTGGATTGGTGGTCACTGGCCATGACGCACCACATCCTGGGGCCAGCCACACAGGTCTGAGGACAAGGGCGTAGGACATCGAAGGTGGGGCTGCAGACTGGCACCTAGAACAGGTGCAGAAGGCGGTATGGGATTCTGTCTTGCTGGGGGTTTGGCCGAAAGGCCCATAGACACATTCTCAGGTTTATCCCCCAGCCATAGGTTTTTCTGATTTCACTGCGATCAAGACGTTTACACCAACTTCATATGAACAAAACAGGGATCAAAGCAACTGAGCTATCTGCCTAAAGTGAGGCTTGCATGCTGCTGCCTCAACCAAACAGAAAGGAAGCGCCATGCTCCCATTCCACAGGAGGGGTCTCTCAGCACACAAAGCCCCCTTCCTTTCTCCCAGAACCACCAGTATGGATGTTTAAGCATTGGTGAAACATGGTTTTTAATTTCACACCTCACAGAGCACAGCTGAACGCTTCATAACAACTAAACAGAAGTTGGGCCAAGCGCTGCAGACAAGCTGGGAGGGTGGCTTCTCCTGTGGCCTACACCCCAGGATTGCCGGGGTCGGGGGGAGGGGAACGACAGACAGCTGCTAACAAACTGGTTGGCTAAGGCCACAGAAATGTGTTTTCTGGTGTTTGGGCTGCTGGCACCTGTCTCTTCTGACAAAAATGTGTTAACACTAGATGCAACAAATCGAATCTCGTCCCTTGGATCCATCAGGAAAAGTCGCCTCTTATTTTCTCTTTGGCTTCTTTTGGGTGGTGTCGTAAGCACGAACAATTTCCTCCTGAGTGACAGCTCCATGCTCTTCTTGAGAAAAGGCGAACCCATCTAAAGAGAGACGTGGGAGGAAGTGTTAGTGGGAGAATTTGGAGCACTCTTGCTAAGGATGAACTGCTTTCAAGAAGACTCCACTTAAGCTGGGTGTGGTAGCAGAGCCCTTTAGTCCCAATACTTGGGAGGCAGAGGCAGGTGGATCTCTGAGAGACCAAGGCCAGCGTGGTCAACACAGTGAGTTCCAGGTCAGCTGGGGCTACAGGAAGACCGACTCTGAAAAAAAAGGAATGAAGAACACACTGAACTGCATGGGCACAAGTCTTTCTTAGGTCTGGTGAGGGAGACCTGATATTAAGACACCTGTAACAGGGGCTGGAGAGATGGCTCAGCAGTTAAGAGCACTGGCTGCTCTTGCAGAGAACCTGGGTTCTGTTCCCAGCACCCACATGCTAACAACTGTCCATAACTCCAGTTCTAGAGGATTCAACACCTTCTTTTGGCCTCCACAGGTACTGTATGCACATGGTACACTTACATGCAGGCAATACACTCTTACACATGCAATAAATAAACAAATGTAAGTAAAAAACACATAAATAAATTTTAAAACAACACCTGTAACTCAAAGGGGACCTTGGACAAGTGGAATTGTGGTGGCTGAAACTGGGGAGGGAATGGCTCCTAGAGGCAGGAGTTGTTATCTGCAGCTATAACAAAATACCATGGAATGGGTGAATTAGAAACAATAGGATGTTTACTTGGCTACCAGTTCTAGGAGGCTGGGAGTCCAAGACCAAGAGGAAGCATCTGGTGAGGACCACCTTACTTCACCATTAAGATGAGGGAACGGTAACCCACTTGTCCCTTGATGACAACATTAATCCATTCACTAGAGCAGAGCCTGTATGACCTCATCATCCCTTAGAGCTTCCCTCACATCTATGACCAAGGCAATTACATTCCAACATGCATTCTAGAGAGGACATTCAAACTACAGTAGGTGGTTTTCCTTTTTCCTGGGGGTTCAGTGTGGGACACATAAACATGGGCCATGGTCTATGCCCTCACTTCCCACCACCAATCAAGAGGAGATGCTTGCATCTGCCTGAAGCTGCCGGTTGGCTCACTAATTCATGAGGCCATCAACATGTCAGGAAACAACCCTTAACAGTGAAAGCTGGCAAAGCACACATGACGCTTGGAGTACTCCTGTTTATAAACTGGACTGATTCTTACAGCCAATAAGTAATCAAAGTGTGCCTCTTTGTGTGTAAATAAGCAGAAAGAGCACATGAAATGTAATAAGGATTTGGTGACTGTATCTCAAAAGGATTTAGTGACTGGATCCATGACCACAGTATGACTGAGTTTTACTATCAATTCACAGGATTAAAATAAAACAAGTAATTGCCAGTGCTTTTTAAATACTATGTGGAGAAGACACTCTTCTACATACTGTTTACAAAGAGTTCAGAGAATCCTTCCAGACACATGACACTATTCTTCTCACTTTTCAGATGGGAAAACCAAGGCTCAGAAATTTTTGTGGCTTGCTCAAGGTCTCACACTGAGTGAGCTGCAGAGTTGGGAAGCAAAGCTATGCAGTGTGACTCAGTCTCCACTGGCAACTCCAGATGTGGCACAGGGACAGAAAAGTCCCTCAGCTTGGTTAGAAATCCTGGACAAAAGACAGTCATGATGTCATGAAGGCACCCTGCACAGTTTATCAGTGGAGCTGTGTGGTCATTGGCATACTCTTCATTTTTTATTTCTACTTTTTAAACATTTTATTTAATTATTTATTTATTTATTTATTTATTTATTTATTTATTTATTGTTTTACCAAATGACCAAAAATTTTTATTTGACTAAATTCAGATTCATGCATAAGTATGATGGTCTCTCTTATTTATCAGACTTTGGCAATTAAAAAAACAACAAAAACCAAGCAGCCTTTTATAGAACAGTGAGAGTGTCAAGGATGAGAGTAGCCTATAGCATCACTGTAGGATAAATACATACATGTACATATATGTATTTCTAAAAGGCCTCTCCTCCTTTGGCCATATCAACTCAGTTCAGATCATAAATACAGATAAGTTTTCAAAATCACTTATTTACTTATTTTAATATTTTATGTGTATGAGTGCATTGCCTGCATGTGTGTAAGTGCACCCATGTCATGCAATGCCCTTGGAGTTCAGAAGAAGGCATCAGATCACCTGGAACTAGAGTTAAAGATGTATGGTAGCTGCCACGTGGGTGCTGGGAATTGAACCCAGGTCCTCTGCAAGAGCAATCAGTGCTCTAAACTGCTGAGCCATCTCTCCAGCCATAGTCTTCATTTTTAAACTTTTCTTTTTGGAAGTGCTGGGGATGGAACCCAGGGCCTCTCTGCCTGCTAGGTAAGTGCTTTGAGTCTCATCACCAGCTCCTATCATTCTCTTTTAAAGAAAAAAAAAAATCAGAAACTGCCCAGGTGTCAGATCCTGGGTTGTTAGTTAATTCCCTCAGATGTTTGACATAGGAAAGTCACCAAGGTGTGAAGACACAGAGTCACAAGCAGGAGGGGCTGGCAGCGTGGAGGGAAGGCTTCAGGAGAAGACTCCATGCTACTGTCCCTTTGTGTGCCCCAAACCAAGAATCCCTATGCCTGGTTGGCTTCTTGCTCTTCAGGAGGGCTACCAACTACCAACCAGAAAACCCAAAGGCTTGAGTGGGCCCCAAAGGCTCCTGTGCAGAGTTGGCCTGGGGCCCTTGTGAGGACACAGGGTCTGAGCAGGAGGGAGATCTCAGACTAAGCGGTCACAGGAGAGAGCACAGAAGGAGAAACAGAGGAAGGATGAACACTGCAGTGAGGTCAGAATGATCAAGGCAGGGTGAACAGAGGGCTTACTCTCCTCCCTTTCCAACACAATACTTCCCACAAACCAGGAAGTCTCATCACATGACAACCATGGAGTAGCAGCTTCCAGAAGCAGCATAAGCACGCCCATCAGCCAGGCAACAGTCAGATGGGGGTCCATTGAGATCACTCAGTGGGTAAAGGTGCTTGCTGTGCAAACTCGTGACTGAGTTTGATCCCTGGAATCTGCATAAAAGTAGAAGGAAAAAACCAAACCAGCTCCACAAAGTTGTGCTTTGACCTCCATGCATGCCTGGCACTACCCATCCTCCAACTCCACAAAAAAGGGTGGGTTCTTGAATGGGGGGCATGGAGGGGGAAGGGAAGTGGTTAGAAGCCACCCTGGAGAGAAAGCTCTGGGTCCACAGCTGGAGAATGGGGCTTCCCAGTGGTGCTGTCCCCGCAGGTGGCTTTGCTCCACATTCCCTGCCTCTCTGCCCTGAGGAGCAAAAGCTGCCTCTTGCCCCTGTGCCCCAGAGATTTTGGATTTGGGCCAAGCTGTTTACTGGAGCTCTCCAGGGATGGGAGGGACTACTTCCTTCTTGCCTCCTTCTGTCCAGGTCTTACCCTGACCACACACAGGGTACTCTTTGTGAGATGTTCTTACTGCAGTCCAAGAGGACAGTCTTTCCTTAGAATGGTTCAAAGCAAAATCTAGCAAATAACGACATGTCCTCTGGTAGCAAGGCAGGCTGCCTACCACAGTCAATTGGATCTTCATTCTCTAGTCTTCTAACAAGGAAGGTTTTGTGGATCCTTGAGGGCTGTCAGTCCCAGCAGCTGGCTCCCACTGTGTCTGTGGCTGCTGTACCCCACTAGAGGAGACCCTTCATTGTGAAGGAAGTCATTGTGATTATGGACAGGCCTCCCAGAGGAATTCTAGAAACACTTGAGGCAAGAAGAGGTCACTGGGTTCCTTCTAAGAAAAAGGCTTTCTTGGCTGGCTGGGCGTCCATCTTGGATGGAAGTCAGATGGCTAGAGTACCGAGAGCATAAGAAGGGGACTTCTTGTTTTGCTTGGCCATGACTTGGTTTTGCAACCTTGGATTCTGTAAACTTTTTGGGTTTTAGTTTGCTTTTCTGTGAGATAAATGGCCTGGGCCAGGGCCTATCTCGCTAATACTCCAACCCTTCATGAGGGCTCTGGGATGCTTTGATGGCCAACCACATCCAGACTGCAGCCTTGTCCTGGACTGTTCCATGCTAGTGTACACACTGAGGGGGGAAGTCCTCTACATACAATCCAGAGAGAAAGGAGTTTGTTTTCAACAGTCCAATCCCCCCGCCTCACCGCAAAAATGGTTAATCATTTCTTTAGGCCTATCTTTGTGTGTGTGTGTGTGTGTGTGTGTGTGTAGTTAGGGATGACAGATGCTCCTTAAGCATTAAAACTAAATATTATTAGGGTTAGAGATGCCGAAGCTGAAAACATAAATAAACAAAGAATAAACACAATTTAGGGGTATCCTTTTGGGTGCTTAACTTTGGGACAGTCTTTATCTGATGACTACAAGGGGCCCTGTGGTCTGGGAGGGGGGTGCTTTAGAGTTACTGGGTGAGGGTTTCTAGGCTTCCCTCCAGAGAGGCAGGCAGACATGGTCTTCTTACCTACTCCTCGGTAAGCAGAACACGGGCAAATGCCCCTGGTGAGGCAGGAGGGTGGCAAGATCAAATCTAAACAAGGCAGTGTGTTGATAATCTGTCTCAAAATGAAAAGTTAGGAATATGAAAATGAAAAAGAAGGTTGGGAATATAGGTCAGTGGCAGAGTACTTGCCTAGCATGAGGCCCTGGGTTCATGCTCCAGTACAAAAAACAGAAAGGAAGGAAGGAGGACACCTTGATAGATGTACCCTAGGAATGGATGGGGGGGCCCACAAATCAGATAAAATACTCTCTTTTAGAAATCAGGCCTGGTTAGAACTGGCACAGAAGGCTCAGTTGATGACAGGCTCCAGGGTCACTCAGCTGACTCTACCTGCCAGCCAGCCAGCACCAAGAAGTAGGATTCCTCTCCAGGCTATGCTGGGGAACATTTAGCTGCCATTTACATCACCATAGGGAGCTCAAGGGAAGCCCCAGCTGTCTGCATTTCCCACCACTATTGGCTGTTGCTGTTGATCTTCAGGAAGCCCCAAAGTGGCAGAGCTGCAATGGGGAGCTGGACACCTAGAGGAAACACTCCCTGACCCAGCTTATGAACCTCCCTGGCTGCTTCCTAAGGCACCTGCTTCTAGATCCTCAGCCAGAATCTAGGAAGGGCTCAGCAAGGAGAAAGGAGATGGGCAGGGGGTAGTAAATTTCTTAGTTGTTTTCTCTTATCCTGTTAGAACATTTAGTGAAGTCAAGTTAAGTCAAATTATTTTTTCCATGATTTTAGAATAAAATTCTTTTTACACTGTATTTCTTTGAATATGAGATTTGATAGTACTTTAGTAAAAATAGCAGTTTCCTGTCTACAAGACTCTTCACAGTCATGGAAATGGTAAAAAACAGGGGGATAAGGAAATCCAACTGTATAGGAAATGTTGGTATGTTATTAATATTGCTCATTGGTGGGTCATAGGAACTGCCTTGGTCTGTTTGTTGTTACTATAATGAAATATTCAAGGCTGAGAACCTTATAAAAAAAAGGAGTTTAATTTCATCTCACAGATCTGGAGGTTAAAGGTTGAGAAGCCAGTGATGGGTATCTTGCTGCCAGGGTCCCAAGGTGGCACAAGGCATCACATGCAACAGATGGGAATGTGTATGTTTCCCTGGTCTCTCCCTCCTCTTATACAGCCACAAGGATCCAGTTATGGGGGCTCTACCCTAGTGACTTAACCTTATCCCAATCACCTCTAAAGGTCCTGACTTGACTGTTTTCAGCCCCTTATACAAACCATTCTGCAATGAGAATCTTCTTTCAGGTGCTGGGAGAGACTGAGGTCTGTGACAGTAGGACAAAGGTTGGGGGAAGTTACACAGACTTCTGACATCCCAGTTCTGACTACTTGGGAGTCTGGTCATTAAGGGTTGTATAAATGTGGTATTACTTTATAGACTGTTTTATTTCTTGTATTTGTTCAATAGATTTTGTTTTTTGCCTTTAAAAAGTTGACTTAAAAATATGCAGTTTTTGTTAAGACAGTTATGACTGTCCTTAAGTCTTCACTTGGTTTTTTTTTAAACTTTTTAAAAAATTTATTATTTCTATTTTATGTGTATGTGTATATTGCCTGCATGTAGGTAAGTGCACCTGTGTCTTGCAATGCCTGTGGAGGTCAGAAGAAGTTGTCGGATCCCCTGGGACTGGAGTTATGGACAGTTGTTAGCTGCCATCGGGGTGCTAGGATTCGAACCTGGGTCTTCTGCAAGACCAATCAGTGTTCTTAACTGCTGAGACATCTCTCCAGCCCCTTCACTTGGTTTTTGAAGGCAGTATAGATGTCTCAAACATATAAATGTGTTCTTTGATACAGAGGACTGGATCTGGGGTCTCATCACACTAACAAGAGGTCTACCACTGAGCTTATCTCCAGTCCTTTTTTCACTTTTTATTTTGACACAGGGTATCACTGAATTGTCTAGGCTGGCCTGGGAACTCACTCTGTATCCCAGGCAGGCCTTGAACTTGTGACCTTCCTGTTTCAGCTTCCCCCAGAAGCTGGGATTACAGGTCTGTGGCTCCTGGCCCAGCTGCATATATTCTTTCTGTGGTTGTTTTGAGACATTCCCCGGAGAAGCAGTGTGGTCCACAGTGTGAATGCTGTGGCTCACAGGCTTCACACTTAGGTCTGAGAGACTATGGATGTGCCCTATACCTCCTGTTGATGACCTAAAAGCCATGACAACACTCAGCGCTACAGAGTGTTGTATGCATGTGCTGTCTGACCTGAGCCTTTGTTTGTGTGCCCTCCTACATCCTTCCTAGGGCTGTGGGAAAGTGGGGTGGGGCAGGTGATGAGATGCCTCCCTTGTTCTCTCTCCACTGGCAAAGTCTGAGTCCCTGTTGACAGTTGGAGTGCAACTGAACTGCACAGTATAGCGGACCATCAATACCTGTATTGTGTGAGCACTGATGCTTCACATTTCAGAAGTGTCATATTCCTACCAGAAGCTTCCTTCCATTCCCCTCAGCAAAGGGTTCCAGGAAGGAGGAGGGTGAGCTGGAGAAGGAGGGTTCAGAGAGGCTGGTCCAGGGCCCTGAGGAAGGAGCCTGTCCTCACTTGCTCCCTGAGAGTTGTGTACTTTACTGCTGGTTCTGTGAGATTCTAGGTAGGGACCTTTCACAGGCTGTCACAGGTTGGGGTGGGGAAATCCTAGCCTAGGGGCAGTTATCCTGGAAAAGTACAGATATTATTCTTCTCAGGGCTTGTCATTGTTTCAATTAACATGCTAATATTAAATAAAGACATCCATATGGCTACATTTGGGGGCAACATTTTAAATGTGGTATTGTATCTGTCTTAAGGCATCATCCTGGTTGGGTTGAGGAGATGGTACAGAAGTTAAGAAGCCTTGCTGCTCTTACAGAGGATCCACATTGGGCTGCTCACAACTACTTGTTGCTCCAGTTCCAGGGGATCCATGCCCTCTTGCGGCCTCTGTGGGCACCTGCGTGTGTGGCACACACACACACACACACACACACACACACACATAAATAAATACATAAATAAATAGTAAATCTTTAAAAAAGTCTTCTTGGGAGGCTGACAGGATCTTAGTCACATTAAGAGTTTAAGCTTTAGAGTTTGATCGGGTCTAAAGGAATAACCCCATTCAAATGTACTTGCAAAGGCACCTGGTTGTAACTGCTGTCCTGGCCTAGTTGATCCACTCAATCTGTTCCCTGCCACCCACTGTCACTTACGAGAGACACACTGCTGGAGGGAGCCTCCACGGTAGAGGGTCGGTGGCGTCTTCCTGCTGAGCCTCTTGATCAGGCGGTCACGCTCGTTCATCCTACAAGAGAGAAAACTGGGTCAGGAGCCAGGTCACCCCAACACTTCTCTGAGGGAACTGAGGTAACTTCAGACTGACAGAAGAAGGTGGGGCAGCCTCCCATGGCAGAAAGTCCTAGTAGAACTGCCCTCATCCTCTCCCAGAGGTGCTGCAAGTGCCCTTTTCATACCAGGCTGAGCCCATATGAAAGTGCCATATGTCCACAGCGATATCATATCATATCCACCACAGTCCTTTCCTGAAGCCAGAGGTCCCTGGAAGAGCCCCAAACCCAGCAAGGGCAGCTTTCTGCTGCACATTCTGGGGCTCATTTTTGAGATATAGCGAAAAGTCTAGATGAATTTTCTTCTAAAGGGGAATGAGGGGGGAGCTCCTCCTGCTTTTCCTGAATACCCGGCCCAACTGCGGAGCCTGTGGAGGGGAGTGTAACTGCTTTTCATAGCAGCCCCTATATCCTGAGCTTTGTTCCTCACCATTCCGATTATTGCAGTAGGAAAATACAAAACGGAAAATTCTAGAAGAAAGCACCTCATAGGCTTTTAAATTGAGTACCATTCTGAGTTCTCCAGTCTCCTCACTCTCATCATATAAGCATTTTATCACTTCACTTTTCAAAGAAAGGTGTGTGTAGTAAGTTGTAAGAGGCCATGCTCACAACTTCCCCCCCAACAGAGCTTATTACTATTGCTCTCTTTTTTCATTATTTGTTACCAACAATGGCTTACCGTGCCTACTTTATAATGAAACTTTATTATAGATATTGTGTATAAGGAAAAACTTGATGTGTGTAGTGCTTGATACCATGCAGTTTTGGAACAAGTCCCCAAGGGAGTATTTGGGAGTATCCAGTGCTTGCAGGATGGCATGGCTGGCCTGGAAAAGAGCTTCTGATGTGTGGGAGTCTGCCAGTGTCCCTCAAATATTCCTGGCAAACAGTGGAGTGTAGCTCAGTCATAGTGTGACCGGAAAGGAACTGAGGATGGCCACTGTCTAGGGGTTGGGTTCATTTTCTCAGACAATTAAAGAAAGCAAAAGGCAGGAAAAATCTCAGACCAGCAGAGAGGAACAGGCAAACAAACGTTTACTGAAAGATGAAGATTCACATACATGCACGCATTCACAGAGAAAATCTCTCTACAACTGTAGAACTGGAAACTGGAAACTGAAAATCCAAAGCCCTCAGGAGGGCTTGGGTTTTTTAAGTGTTTTGGCTGTTATGGGGCAGGTCTCTTCTCCTAAGTTTGGATTGATCCACCAAACAAAGTAGAGAGAGTCTACAGGTAATAGCTCAAGCTGAGATATGTCCAGGGCTACATGACTCTAAGCAGATCAGCTAATGGGGCCCGCTGGAATTAAGAGCTAAGGCCTTCTTTCCAGAGTTACCAAGAAGAAGCAGGAGGTGTGCCATCTTTATTACTCCCCAGTGGCCCTGTTTGCTTATTAGGGATTGAGACCCTTACAGTAGCACCCATGCTTAGCAAATGTGAGGGGAATCCCCCGCCCCAACACCCACAGAGTTCTTGTTGAAGCCTAATGCTCAGTATCTCAGAATAGGATTGCACTGGAGACAGGGCCTATACAGAAGGACAGATGACATACATCTGGGCCCTGATCCAACATGACCACTGTCCTTTTAAAGAAAGGAGATCAGACATACAGAGGGAAGGTGGTATGAACATACACAGAGGAAGAAGTCTTCTCCATGTCAAAAAGAGAGACTACAGGAGAAGTCAGCCCTACAGACACCTTCATTTTAGACTTGGAGCTCCAGAACCAAGAAGTAAATGTCTGGTGTTGGCCCGTAGTTTGTGGTACTTAGTCATAGCAGTCTGAATTCCTGAGCAGACAATTCTACCCCCAATCTTGTTTGCAGAAAGTCAGGGTATCTGAGGGACCTGAAGCCTGGGGAGGTCTGTCCCAACCACAGTCTCTTTTTAGTACCCAAAGCACAAGTAACAAAAGAAAGAATAAATTTGACTTCATTAAAATTAAAAACTTTAAGCTGGGCAGAGCAGCACACACCTGTAGTCCCAGCTACTTAAGAGGTTGAGATAGGAATACCACTTCAGGAATTTGAGGCCAGTCTGGGTAATATAACACAGCAAGATCCTGTCTTAAAAATAAAGACTTTGGTGTATTAAAGGACATTATTGAGGAAGTGAGAGGGAAACCAGAAAATGGGAGAAAACATTGGCCAGTCATATCTGATAAGGGTCTAGTATATAGAATACATAAATAATTCCTGTGAATGAAGAGCAAAAAGATGGACAACCTATTGAAAGATGGGCAAAGGACTTGAATAAACATTCATACCAAGAAGATATACACTGGCCAGCAAGCACGGGAAAAGATGGTCAGCATATTCACAGCTGGGAAAATGCAAATCAAAACCACACTACCTCACACCTACTGGGGTACCTATGAAAACAACAAACAAGCAAAATACAGAAAAGGACAAGGATTGGAGAAGATATGAAGAAACTGGAACCTTCTTACAACACTGGTGGGGCTAAAAGATGGTGCAGTCACTATCAGTAAAGTAAAAAACAAACAAACAAACAAACAAACAAAAAAACCTATTATCTCACCCAGACATTCTTTTCCTAGGTAAATACCCAAAATAATTGAAAAAGGACTCAAATAGATACCTGCATATTAATAGCCATACTAGCATTATTCATAGACGCCTAAAGTGAAATAACCAAGTATCTATCAACTGATGAATATATAAACAAAATGTGGTATATCTATTAAATGGAGTATTATTCAGTCATATAAAGGAATACAGTAGTGATCCATGATACGGCATAGATAAGCTTTGAAAACACTATATCCAGCCCCACAGGCCATGTGTGATTACCAGAGTAAGCACATATTAGACAGAAAACAGACTGATGGTTGCCAAGGCCTGCAGGGCAGGGAGGTGGAGGAGAGGAAGAAGAGTGACTCTTTAAAGCATATTGGATTCCCTTTCGTATAAATGGAAATGTTCTGAAAGCAGATGCTGGCAATGGTTTATAACAAAGTGAATGTACTGTGTTGCGTTGGTGTAGAGTGGTGAGCATAGCTGCCTTCCAAAGTGAATGTACCAAATGTCGCAGAACTGTGTGCATTAAAATGATAAATTTTATGTTATGTGAATTTTATCAGAAAGTTTAAAAAGAAAATTAAATGATAAAAAACAAAAGGAAGAGGAATAGGTCTCAACCCAAGATGGACCCTCTCGCACCCACTAAACTGTTGGCAGCCCTACCATCTTTATGGCTTATTTCTCCAACTCTCTGGGGTGTTGGAATTAAAGCACTGTGTGCTGTTCCCCCCATGTGCTGGCATCAGCAGGTAAACTAGCCGGGATCTACGGAAGGTGTCAGGTAAACATGAATTCAGCCGAGCTTCGTGCAGTCTTGGAGCCTCTCCAATAATGATGGTGAAGCTGAAGCGCTGGCGAGTTCTCACAAAGTGCCCTTTTTAGAAGCTGACGTACCCTAGAGGTGGTGTATGTTCCTGTCCTGGAAAATGGCAGCTAGAGGAAGGAGGGGTCAGTGAAACCAGTTTCGCTGGAGAAAAGGAAACTCTCATGTCTACATTTCTGTTAAGAAGCCATTCCTGCAAAATTCATGCACTCTGGAAATCACATCCTTTGGGAGGGCAGGAGAAAGGAGTACACTGCCAGCAACTAGAGGTCCATAGCATACATCTCAGCAGATCCTGCAGCTGACAGGAATCACAGCGGATGTATAACAAACCCCAAACCAAGTAAGTAGTTTCAGAAACTCATTTTAAATTGGCTGCTGGGCATTCTTGAAAGGCCAGGTGTAAGCTGAGCTGTAGTTCAGTGGTACAGCATTTGCCTCACACATGCAAGGCCCTGGGCTCATCTCCTGCACTACACAGAATCAGACACATAACCAGAACAAAATGCAGATGCATGCGATAAGACTTTTAGAGAGTCCAGAGTTCCCCTCCCTTCAGGTAAGGCCAGACCTCCACCGGGGAAGCATCTGAAACTCTAACCTGCTTGTAGGGATCTGAGAGAAGACACTTTATAGCCAACTCTCAATTGGCAGCTTATTTTATACATTACAGTTTGAACATTAGAAAATGAGAAACTTTTGATCTCTAGTGCTATCTGAGCCCCTGTAGGATCAAAAGTCTTACCATAGTTAAACACACTTATATAATGGAGAAGATAACAAAAATAAAATGTTTTCCTGCCTAGGATTCTAAGGAGGTAAGAGCTCTATTTTATGTTGCCTGGAGCTGGGAGCCCTTCAGAAATTCTACTCCGAGGGGTGTAAATGATTCTCTTTCTTTCTGCCAATTTATTGATACCTGATTTTTTAAAGCTAGATGTCCTAAAGTCTTTGTTTAGCATTTATGCAACACCTACTGTGTGTAAGGCTGGTTGCTTTGTAACTTGGCTACCTAAGACATAGTCTCTGTCTTTGTGAGAGACAGAACATTGTTTTCTTAAGAATTCAGGTTGTAAGGGACTGTGGAGCCAGTGTAGCTGAAGGTGTGACACTGGTTCAAGGTTAACAAACAATCTAAATTCCATTCCAAAAATTAGAAAGTGAAGCCGGGTGTGGTGGCACATGCCTTTGATCCCAGCATGTGGGACACAGAGGCAGGTGGAGCTCTGTGAGTTCGGGGCCAACCTGGTTTACATAGTGAGTTCCAGGCCAGCTGGGGCTACAGGGAGACCTGTCTCAAAAAGACGGGGGGGGGGGGGGAGTGGTCTTTCCTGTGGACTTTTCTCTGTGGACTCCACTCCCATCTGACTATCAAACCTGGAGACTAGAAGCTGTGGAGATGGCTCAGCAGTTAAAAGCACTGGCTGATCTTACAGAGAACCTGGGTTCAGTTCCCAGCATCTACACAATGGCTAACAACCACCCTTAACTCCAGTTCCAGGGAATCCAACTCCCTCTTCTGACTTCCGTGGGTATTGCACAACATGGTGCACTTACACACATGCAGTCTGTGCTGGGTGGCTTTAG